TTATATGTAAACCTTGTGTGTTTTTGACAATATTAGAACAAAAAATAACTCTACTGCTGAGTTAACATTTGATGCGAATGTATGTCGCGTTGTACAGTATATTGAGACGGAGGCACCAGGAAAGCAACTGATTGAATGTGCTGCTGTAGCACGATACTACGATATTTCTTCAAAAGCAGATCGTGGAGACATTTTAATAGTCCATGATCAAAAATCGTGATATCGCACACCCCTACTTCTAGTGCATCCTAATTAAAACAGCAGATTAGGGATGCTGTGCATACTGTAGGCAGCAACTGTGTGCATCATATAAATAACTCCTATCTTGACGCACACAAGCCAACTGACTCTCAATCAACTCCAGTAGAGTCCTTTGTTAGCTTATTAAGCACAAAAAAGATGCTGTGCTTGGTTGGTGCAAATGATGTCATTAAAATATATATATATAAAAAAAAAAAATATATTTTATAGAGCTCGTTGCAGTGCATTCTGGGATCATCTTATTGGACACTTATTGGACACTTATTGGACACGTAAGGACACTTACGATGCTGCTTCCAATTCGTCCAAAACACGATTCATATCAGGTATCTTTTGCATCTACACTGTAAAAAATTATTATAATTTTTTTTAATAGTTGCAAATAAAACTATTAGAGTAGGTCTTACAAGAAAATATTATTTCAGTCTATCTACTTCAAAATTTCATGTTTTATTCAATGTGTTACTTACCATTCACAATTATTTGTGAAAATGACTAGCAAATTTCTGATTGAAAATTGTAGCAAAGATGGAGTTTGAGACGGTCCACGCATGTAAATGATAACTGTTTGTGTGGAGCAGCATTTACTGTGAACGGAGCCGCTCTGAGATGCACGTAACCTACACGTATAAATAAAGCACGTATTAAACCCGCAGCGCATATATTTATTTATTTGAATTGCAGCCATGGGAATTCACAATAGCACTGGTTTTAATATTTTGTGCAGAAGACAGTCTAATAATGCTTTTCATGCATTCTTGTCTGTGGAATGCGCCATCGACATGGGCAAAATGCAATCGAGGATTTTTTAATAATCAAGTACTCGAATTTAATCGAATAATCATGAATTATTGTATACAATACATTGAAGCTTTGTTATTTAAATCTTTTTATTATTGAGTTTGCCATGAATATAGCCTTTGATGCCCATATAGTGTAAAATTATAAATAAAAAAACAAATAAATAATAATTTTTTTCAGTGTAGAAACCAGCGTGTTTTGTAAGCATCCTTTCTTCTGGCTTTTATCTACTTTTGAGCTCTCCCCTCTTCAGGCTGTGTTTTAGGGCTCATTTTGTTCGGCATATGTGTGATATTCTGCTTTTGGAGTCATAATAGCTCGGACCTGCTTGACTAATCAGGTGTAATGGAATGCATTCGAGTCATTAAGTGTCCCTATATTCGGTTCTTCTGAGGCCGGCTGTTTCTTTTATAATGACAAACTGCCCTCATTTCCAGTCAGAATTATTCCACCCGATACTGCATTCATATCCCACCGCTGCTTACTAATGGAGTTCTCTGATCTCTGGTCCAAATTTGAGCCGACCGGAGCCTTATGTTGAATGACAGAATGGTGGAGTTTGGCGTTATGAATAAGTTTTGTCAGCCTTTCGGACTTCAGTCATTGTGGAATTGGTTCAGTAGAGCTGAAAATTGCCTTTGCCCTATGGGACGCACCGAGGACTGATCTCCAACTTTTACCCCTTTTCTCTTTCCCCTTTTCTGTGCTTTGCTTACTGTTTTCCTCTCCTATTCGGAGAGAGGGTTGTGTCCGCAGTGCAGCCGCTGTGATAAATCTTAGCGTCTGACCACAGATGCATATATTTACATAAACAGTCAAAGCACAACAGCCATCTTGACCTGTATAATAGATCAGCTCCAGTGTTTGTCTGGAATAATACTCTCTGGACGGGAGCCACAAAGTGTTGTGCAAAAAAACAACAACAACAAAAAAAAACACTCAGCTGATCATTAGGGATGTGCGGGTCTAGTCGACTAAACGGTACAGCTCCTACTAGTCGACACTGAAAACAATAGTCGATTACACGACAGAAAAAAAAAAGAAAAACAAAAACATGATTTTATCATTCAAATTACCATCATTTTAACATTGCATTTAAAACATTTTAAATAACAAGTTAAAATAAAACGTTTGAAAAATAATTATTTTTAAAAGTAGTTTATCTGGGCGGAAACTACATCTTTACCTCAGACCTCACATGAGTTTTCTTGTGTCAGTTGCGGCGAGTTAAAAAATGACCATGCGAAAGACGAGAAGGTGTGGGATTATTTTGAATTAGAAGGAAACGGAAAAGTTTTGTGTAAACTGTGTAATGTCAAATTGTCTTACAATAACTCTACTGGAGCGATGCGTAATCATATTCAATACAGGCACGTAGGCGTTAGCTTAGAGGCTGGCCAAAGCCAGCAAATGTGTCAATCACGTCATTCACTACAACCCGTCGGTGCTGCGATCCCGTCCGCGTCGTCTATTCCTCTAACGAAGACCCACTTCAGTGGTGGTGCGGGATGTCCAGGCGCTTTCTGAAATTCTGTCGGCTGGCTTTTCGTTATCTCTGCGTGCCTGCGACTTCAGTTCCTGCCGAGCGCGTTTTTTCAAGTGCAGAAACTTTGTTAATCGCCTCAGGTCTACAAAACTTTAGTTTAAACGACAGTCAAATTAGTTGTCGCGCACATCCCTACTGATCATATTGCTCACGAGTCTGAGCCAGTCATAAAATTGTTACGAGCCTTTTTTTTTTGTTACGGTTGTAATGGCATTCAGCAAAAGTTCAGTCAGAGCATCTTCATCTAATCTTAATCACAACAAAATTTTTTACTTTGAAACAATTTTTACTCAGAAATTGATAGTAAATTTCACAAATAAATAAAAGAAATGGCAAGTAACTATTGAAGCCTGTTTCCAACATGGAATAAAAAAAAAAAAAGAAGGTAATTGAGACTTTTTATCTCGCAATTCTGCTTTTTTTCTCTGAATTCTGAGTTTGCATCAAGCGGCAACCTCCCGCTCTCTCTCGTGAAGCCAACACGGAAGTGACTTAAACTGTAATTCATCAACTGGCCGCTAGAGGCTGGCTGCAAAAGGGAGTCAATCCCATAGACTCCCCATGTTAAAATGCCCAACTTTACAGCAGAAAAAAATATGTTTACAGCCTGGTTCAAAAAATGATTTTGGTCTATATAGCTAATTTTGCCCTTCATGACAACTGTGAGGGGGGTGAATTTTTTTATAAGTCATCCGTTTAAATTATATTAAGCCTTAAAGTTCTGCCTAATTAAGGGCGTGGCCACTTGAGTGACAGGTGGATTGCCGCTGCTGTCACCACCGTCGAGCTAGGTGGGCGTGGTTTCAGCAACCAGCTCCCGCCTTTTTGCCCATTTTCGATTATCCGGGAGTGACGCGCGGTGACGCGCTGCCAAGATGGCGATGGCCGGCTCCGCCTACTTTAGGCTTCAAAAACGCTCTTCAGGAACCTACGGGTGACGTCACGGACACTACGTCTATGTTTTTATACAGTCTATGGTTTGCATCTTGCAATTCTGCTTTTGTTTCTGCCATGATTTTTTTTTATCTCACAATTTTCATTTTTTTTTCACAATTGCCAGTTTATATATTACAATTCTGCATTTATATCTCATAAATCAGACTTTTTTCTCAGAATTGCAAGAAAAAATACACAACTTAACTTAAGAGCAGATACATTGTATGCTCTTAAGTTTTGACTAATACGAAGGTACGATTTAATAAAAAGTGATCTACAATTTATTTTATTCATGGACATTATATTTTTCACCGTGTCGCAGGGCTGTTAGGACCGGAATAGATGTGTCATAAAAAGACAGATAGCAAATGTACATAACCTGCTGGAATGCATCATTGAATTATAAAATTTACTGTAAGTTTCAAACCTTTTATCTGTGATAGTAATGGTGACAAAATAAATATGCACACCTCAAATATTGTACAGTAAAAAGTAAGCACTCTTCAAGCACTGCCGTCACTTCACTCTAACAGTAGTCAAATAGCTGAAGCATTAAGCATTTAGCCTATATGATGAATAATTACTTTGGTGGTAATAGGCATTCTAGTTGACTATCTACTGTGTAAACTTGGTTAGTAGGATAATGCTAGGCAGTTTCTTAATGTCCCAGTCAAAAGAATTGAAAGTCTCTGATATTATGGTCTGTAGATATGACTTTCAAATGTAAGTTTATGGGATTCTTTTTTTCTGTTTTATCTGCAAAAGCATTAGTCCAATTGTCCATTTACAGCAAACATGTTTATCTGCATCTCAGTTCAGGATGCATTAAAATATAGTTTATATAATGTTTGCTTTCCTAAATCTGGTTTCGTCTCAGACTCAGCTCATTACTGTCTCCCCTGTGCTGGACCCCCTGTGGCTTCGGTCTGGATTATGTTATTATGGTCAGTGTAATCGAACCATTAGCATCTAGTAATCTACAGTGATGTTGACTGACACACACATGGCATCAGTGAGTACAGGACCAGTGTCTTGTCTCTGCTGTATTGACTGCGACGGTCCAGCAGCGGTCTCTGATTAGATAGTGGCATGAGATTTCAGTCTAAATGGATGAATGGCTCCTCAATGCGATTATAATGATGTAGTTCTTCTGGTGCAGAGATTGTCTTTCCTGTGCAGCTGACGGCAGTGTGGACAGGGAGAGAGGGGTGTTTTTGGGGGTTTTTTTGGTTGACATTTTATTGATCAAGAGACGTAATTGTGTTAAAGAGTGTTTCTTTGTCTTGTATGTTTCACAAAGAAATGCAATTTTTTTTTTTTTTTTTTGAAAATATTATATTCTTTTCATTTTCTTTTTATAAATTGTATTTCTTATAAATTTATAATATACAAATAATAACACTCTATCAGTCAAAACATATAATTAATATAAGTATTACAATTGAGATAATTAAAATTTGTTAATGTTTCTGAGAGACGGTCGTTATGTTCACCAAAGCTGCATTTATTTGATAAAAAATACAGTAAAAACAGTAATATTATGAAATATTATTACAAATTAAAATAACTGTTCTCTCTATTTGAATATATTTTAAAATGTAATTTATTCTTATGATGCAAAACTGATTTTCAGCATCATTACTCCAGTCTTCAGTGACACATGATCCTTCAGAAATCATTCTAATATGCTGATTTGCTGCTTCAAGAAACATTTCTGATTATTATCAATATTGAAAACAGTTGCGTGTGTGTGTGTGTGTATATATATATATATATGTGACCCTGGATCACAAAACCAGTCATAAGGGTCAATTTTTTGAAATTGAGATTTATACATCATCTGAAAGCTGAATAAATAAGCTTTCCATTGATGTATGGTTTGTTAGGATCGGACAATATTTGGCCGAGATACAACTATTTGAAAATCTGGAATCTGAGGGTGCAAAAAAATCAAAATATTGAGAAAATCGCCTTTAAAGTTGTCCAAATGAAGTTCTTAGCAATGCATATTACTAATCAAAAATTAAGTTTTGATATA